TCTTCACTCACAACTAGAAAACATGAAAAGATTCTTCACACGCCTATAATTCGTTCATAAGATTACATCTTGCAGTCACAACATACTCATCACATAGTTATCCAACCGTCACTCGCACTAATAGGGACACTACCGAATATATAAGCTCAAAAACACTTGCTCACACAATCAGCACCTCGGTGCTCAAGCCATAGGCAAAGATCCGACCTCGAGTCCTCCAGATTGGACCTACATCAAACTCACAGAGATCACATCTCGCCCCTCGATCAGGGAATCACAAGCCATCAAGGCACATCTGATACTGAGCGCTCACGCGCGTATACGAACGCGTGGAAGGAATTCGAAGAGTTACATTTCAAGCAGAATCAAGGTCGTACGATAAGAATTCAAGAATGTGAGGCTTTTCCTAAAGGTTCTGCAGCCTCTCGAGGATAAATACAGACGTCTCCGTATCGATCCGCAAGACTCTACTAAACCTGCTCATGACCTAATCTCTGATACCAACTTGTCACGACCCCAAATCGGGCCCGGTCGTGATGACACCTCTCGTGAAGACAAGGCCAGCTGACACAACTCCCAATTCAATTCAATAATTTAAATGAGTCAATTTAATGTCTTTTCAATTAATCAAATATTGCATAACGTGAGTTTAAAAGAAACACTACGGAAAGAAAAACAGCCCGACATCAGGGTGTCACAAGTCACGAGCATCTATAAAGATCTGTAATACAACTAAGTGCTAAAATAGCCTACAGACTAATGAGAGAAGAGAGAGAAGGGCAGTGCTGCGAACGTCGGCAGCTACCTGGCAAATCTCCGATGACTCTGCCTCCGATGAGCCAAAATCCGCCACTGGGTGTGGAAATACCTGGGTCTGCACACAGAGTGCAAGGAGTAAAGTGAGTACTCCAACTCAGTGAGTGATAAAGGTAAATAACAACTGAGCAGTAAGAAATCACGTAAAACATATCAACATGTTGTATAGAAGCAGTTCAAATCCAGTGAGAAAGCAGAGAAACTGTAGAATCTCTTTAAAATATCTTAGCTCAGTTTAGATTTCTTTAAAAATGACTTTTCAACAATTACGCAAATGAATGCCAAAACAGTTAGTGCAGATAAGCACAGAAATCCGCCTCTCGGGCTCAAAACCATAGTTTAATAGATAAATGACAGTAAATATGAAAGATAAACACATAAAGATTCGCCCCTCGGGCACAATGTCAACAACCTCGCCCCTCGGGCAATATCTCAGAACAATATCAGCCCTTCGGGCAATCACAAAGATCGGTACCAGCCCCTCGGGCAATCACACAGAACAATACCAGCCCCTCGGGCTATCAAATAGAATAATGTCAGTCCCTCAGACTATATCACACATCACAATGGGTACCCGCGCTCACTAGGGTGTAGAGACTCCGGGAGGGGCCCCTTACGGCCCAAGCACAATATCAAGCCATCTCGTGGCATCAAATGTAGGCCCTCGGCCTCATATCAGTCAAGCCACCTCGTGGCGTATATATGTATCTCAGGCCCTCGGCCTCATAAGTAATATCAACAATCCACATCCTGGTGTACATATCTCAATCCCTCGGCCTCAATCAGTATCAGTGTTTCCTCACAACTAGGCCCTCGGCCTTACTCAGTCAAAAATACTCATAAGCCCCTCGGGCATTAGTAAAACAGTATTTCTCAGCCTAAAACATAATTTAAAATATCGTTTAAGTCTCAAAACGCAGTAAAAACGGTTGAGTGGTAAAACAATGGAAAATAGCATGCCTGGGTTCAATTAATAAGTCAAAGCAGTGAGGAAATAGTAATAAAAATCCCCGAAGGGTTCAAATAGTTGGCACGAAGCCCAAATATGGCAATCAGCCCAAATCATGATGACAACAAATAAATTTCAGTCAAATACGCGGTAAAATCATCAATCGGGACGGACCAAGTCACAATCCCCAATATTACACGACCCCACGCTCGCCGTCAAGCGTGTGCCTCACCTCAATATAGCACTACGATATGCAATCCGGGGTTTCAAACCCTCAGAACATCATTTACAATCATTACTCACCTCGAACCGGGGAAATATCTAGCTCGCGACGCCTTTGCCCCTCAAATCGGCCTCCACGCACGTCGAATCTCCAGGTGATTCCCCTTGAATCCCTCTTCAATCCTCTTCAAAAAGCTTCAAAATTGACCAACAATGAAGGAACTTAACCTCAAATTCGCGGAAATGAGCCTTTAAAACAATCTGCCCAGCTCTCACTTTTGCTTAACCGCGATCGCGGAAAACCCCTAGCGATCGCGAAGCACAGCACACAATTTACACTACGCGATGCGTATACCCTCACGCGAACGCGATGCTCAAAATCTTCCAACTACGCGATCGCGAATGATACCACGCGACCGCGCTTCACAGCAACATAAACCTACGCGACCGCGACCCTATTTACGCGAACGCGCAGAGAAACCTGGATGCCCCCTGAAATAACTCTATGCGATCGTGAGCCTCCTCACGCGATCGCGAAGAGGAAACACCTGCAACAGATCTGGAGCCAAAACCTGCAATTTTCTGCAATTTTCTCAACATGAAATGGTCCGATTGACCACCCGAAACTCACCCGAGGCCCTCGGGACCTCAACCAAACATGCCAACCTATCCCATAACATTATTCAAACTTGTTCCAACCTTCGGAATGCCCAAAACAACATTAAAACACCAAATTCGCATTGGATTCAAGCCTAAGAATCCCAAAATCTCCTAGATTACGCTTTTGATCAAAAACCCAACCAAACCATGTCCGAATGACCTGAAATTTTGCACACACATCCCAAATTACAAAACTAAGCTACTGCAACTCTCGGAATTTCATTACGACCTCTATATCAAATTCTCACCTATCAACCGAAAAACGCCGAAATCTCAATTTCGCCATTTCAAGCCTAAACCTTCCACAAACTTCCAAAATGCATTCTGATCATGCTCCTAAATCCAAAATTACCTAACGGAACTAACCAATTCATAAAAGTTCCGATCCGAGATCATATACAATCAAGTCAAATCTTGGTCAAACCTTTCAAATTTAAAGCTTCAAACTGAGAATTGTTCTTCCAATTTCGTTCCGATTTCCCTAAAAACCTAAACCAACGATTTGCACAAGTCATAATACATCATACGGGACTAATCATGCTCGAAATCTGGTGATCAAAGTGCAAAAGCTCAAAACGACCGATCGGGTCATTACAAGCAAGTGTCTAGTAGAGTCTTGTGGATAGGTATGATGACGTCCATATCTATCTTCGAGAGGCTACAGGGCATTTAGGATATACATCTCATCTTTATTTCCTTATCGTGCGACATTGATTCAGCTTGAAGCATAACTCTTTGAATTCCTTCCATGCATTCCTATGCGCACATAAGCGCTTGGTATCAAATGTGCATCAACGCTTGTGATTCTATGGATGAGGTACGAGATGTGATTTCTATGTGATGATGATGGGCCAGCCTGGAGGACTTGAGGTCGGGTTTTGACTGTAGCTTGAGCATAGAGATGTTGATTGTGTAACCACATGCTTTTGAATTTATATGTCCGGTAATGTCCCTATTAGTGGAATTTGTGGCTGGATGGCTACGTGATGAGTATGCTGTGACTGCGAGATGTGTTCGTATGGTTTGAATGTGACGAAAAGAGCTTGATTGAGATATAAATTGGGTGATTGATTTCCGTCTTGATTTAACGTATAGTCTCGAGTTATGGGTGTGTTGAAGGATCTTTCATGTTGTGTAGTTGTGGAGTGAAGTGGATTTTCATGTCGTGATATGAGTTCAGACTCAGGAAGATTAGGTGATTGCGTAATAGTTATGACTGTGGAAGGGTATAGAGAGATGTCAGTTTGAGGCAAATCAGTGGGTTATATCCTGTGGGGTGTCCTGAGGTTGTGTGATCCCTATGTTGTTTTTTAGTGAGTTCTCTTTTACCGGTGAATTATATGTGTAGCAATCTGGGTTAGGATCGCTTATGAGAGTTGGCTTGACTGTTACAAGGGCGAATGCAAGATTTGCAGATGATTTGAGATATTAGATGGTTTGTATCACATGAGCTTATGAAGGATTTAGTTGAATCTCACTACGGTATCATGGCAGTAATAGAGTATGGGCATTGTGAGTTATTGTGTGTTTTGATCTATGGCTTTGATCCAAGTGGGGGAGTCTGCTATCGATAAGTTAATTTCATGGTTATATGTTGTATAGGTTTCAGTTTGAGGTATACTTGTGGATAAGTTATGATTTGTAGAGGTTGAGATCGAGGTTGACTCGAGTAAAGGAATTTTTGGATATGAGTTGTATTGTACTTTATGGGTATATGGAAAACATTGAATGATTGAGTTGTTATTAGTAAGGGATGTAGTCTGCATGGAGTAAGGATTCACTCAGTTTCTTAGAAGTGTGGATTACTCCTTAGGGTGTTAGTGTGCACATGGGGCACGGGTGATCATTCGGTCCGTGTGATCGCTTTAACTGAGATTCGAGCAGAGTGGATGATTCTCGAGAAGGTTATAATAGATTCAAGATTTATATGTAGCAATTGGGAATCTTCAGGATTTGTATATGGCTAGAATCAGAGATTTAAGTTGGATGGTGTCGAGACTTGTGGCATTTCTATATCCTTATGGATTCTATATTTCAATATCAAGAAGGTAAAGAAAATGGCTTTAGATTCGCAGAAGGTCTCTTCAGAGTAGGTGTCTCGGTTGTGGTACTTTTGGGGGTGCTTAAGAAGGAATGTGTGTGTGTGTATTGGTATGTTTTACTCACAAGCTAGTTTAGTTTCATTGTTGTGCCTCATAAATTAAACCTTAAAATTAAGTTTGTTGGAGAATTGTTTCATAATTAAGATGATGAAATTAATATGCTGAATTAGGAGAAATGTTATTGGAAAGATCGGCCTTTCACATGCATGCATGCATACCGCAGCATATCATTTGGTAAAAACACTTGCTACTAAAGTTAAAGATGGGTTCTAAAATTCATTAAATTGAAATCAAGCATGTTACAAGAGAATTATACTCCCTAATTCACGGTGCCTTTAATAAGACTAGAACTTAGGAATTATAATGTTGGACCCCTGGATACAGCCTCTTTGATCGCTACTTGGTGGGCATGAAACGAACTGCTTCAATGTAGTGTCCATACATAAGTATATCTCATGCAGAAGAATATGATTGCCATTCTTCTTGCATGAGATGTAGATATCGTTGTTGTTACCAACCAGTTTATGAAGAGCACTGTTTATGTCCGTTTTTGTGCGAACAGTATTGTTTGATGGTATAATGTTTGCATCAGTCAAGTAAACGAGCAGATTCTTCTTGTTATTTATTACAATCATATTGGCATGCACTGTTACCGCTCCCTTGAAATAATCCACAAGTGAGAGAGACTGAATTGAACATAGTCCATGTTTCCTCCACTGGTATTTCCAGAAATTTCGGTTCGTATTGCCATATTTCAAATTTGGCCAAATAACTCCGAGATTTGCTTTCAAGGTTTGGTCATTAATCAACTACGCACGCAAAACATAAACAAGTACAAAATTATACTCATTATACAAAAAGATAATTACGTATAAAAAGAAAATTAAAAGAAAACATATAGCATACCATATTATCTACTTTTCGGTTTTCAATTGAAGGTAAATCACCTTGACAGAATTCTATGCTTTTTCCTGTAACGGTTTATGGTACAATAAGTTGGAGGCCACTGTAACACGTACATCATATAGTGATATTGGCCATTCGTAACTTCGGGGGTGCACACAAGGGTAAAAAGCAAGAGTATTGTAATCAACTCCATAATTAAGTGAGTATGAAATATAATGATTTTTGCTGAATGATGTGTGGTTCAACTCATCACATCTGCTATTTATAATGGATTGGGGCTCAGCTAATTCTTATTGCGCCCTTTCGGTCTATTAACATGTTATACAACAACAACAACAACAACCCAGCATAATCTGGAGAGGGTAGTGTGTACGCAGACCTTACCCCTATTAACATGTTATCTTGATCAATATTACTTCCTTGTTTCACATTTTTGTTTTACTATATAACTTCTTTACAAAATTCTACAAAATAAATATAATATATTTGACGTTCATAAAATAAAAGTATTACATGATCTCTTATCAGTTGAATAAAAGAAATAATCCTATAAAAATATGTTTTATTTAATTTACCGATCTATTACAAAATCATATAACTGAAATAATAATATTTACAATTAATCTTAAAATTGAATATATATCGTAAGCAATTAGAGTGTTTTTCCATATGCAATGGTATATATATGTATCAAAGAAAAGGGATTTGGTAACAAGAAACTTTTATTAAAGAGAGCTTGTCTTTTTATTCGGCTACTAGGAGTAGGAGTGTACATGGATCGGTTGGTTCAGTTTTTTATCAAAACCAAACTAACTATATCAATTTGGATTAGTTCGATTTTGTTGGATTTTTAGATCTTTTTTGTTATATGAATATTATTTTAATTTCATTTTGTTAAATTTTTGATAAGTAACTATATGTTTAGTAAAAATTAAAAAAAATAACAAATATATAATCTATTAAAATATTCTTATGGAAGAATTTTCTTGGTGACACATGAAAGTTATTTTTTTAATCGTCTGACATAATTTTACGTTGATGTACACTTTAAAGGTTAACCGAATTTAATAATTAAAAATAAAAATAAATATGAACCTATATAATGATACGTTCTATTTAATTTTAAATTATCGAAATACCATTTCAAATTCGAAAAAGATAAAAGAATTTAATAGATCTTGACATATGAATATGGAATAACAAAGAGATTGATATATTTCACCAATACTTGATAAAAAAGTGATTATACAGTCCATTATTTAAAGTTAATATATATGGTTGCTCTGATAGTAAGCAACCTCCACTTCCAACCGAGAGGTTGTGAGTTCGAGTCTCCCTAAGAGCAAGGTGGGAAGTTCTTGGAGGGAAGGATGCCGAGGGTCTATTTGGAAATAGCCTCTCTACCCCAGGGTAGGGGTAAGGTCTGCGTACACACTACCCTCCCCAGACCCCACTAAGTGGGATTATACTGGGTTGTTGTTGTTGTTGTATATATGGAGTACTTCATATTCAACTAAATATTACATCCCATAAGAGAATCGCAAATATTTCTAGATATTTTTATAAAAAAATTATATAAAAAGTCTTAAAAGTATATATAAAAATAATATATTTAGATATCGTTTTGATTCGAATTTTTTACTCAATACCAAACCTAATTGGCCTTTTTACTTTATTTGGTTTGACTTTTCGATTCGGTGAGTTTCGATCAGTACACCCTACCAATGACATATATGAAATTAATGCAGTATATTTAAAAAGCTTTTCGAGTAATGCTCCTTTTTCGTTCTTTACCAATTTAGTCCCAGAAATTTCACATGCTGCGGTATGCATGCATGTGAAAGGTCGATCTTTCCAATAACTTTTCTGGTAATTCATCATATTAATTTGAACATCTTAATTTATGTAATAATTCTCAAACAAACTTAATTTTAAGGTTTAGTTTAGGGATTTTTTTATACTTCTACAAAATTAGAAACTTTATTATCAAAAATGTCCATATTTACATAATTACCCGACCTACCCGTGTTTAATTTACAAACATATATACATTCCACCTTAAAAGACTCTCAATTCATTATTAATGCCTTTAATCAAGGATTTAGTAAAGGCATGTTAGACTTAGATACCTTTTTAATCAGCTGTTTAATCAATAGCAAACAAGATTTTCTGCTCCGAACTCGTTTTCCTTTCACAGTTTCTTTTCCAACTCATATGCTGTGTTTACTCGTCTAACTAGGCGAAGAATCACAGACTCGACAACATCTGCATCCTTATAACAAAATTATGTGATAATGCTTTTGGTATTTCGGTACTGGCACTGAACATGGTTGTCTTTTTATCCTACAAGTTGCTTGCAAAATGGACAGTTATACCTAAAGAAAAAAACCTAAATAAGAAGTGATACTGGAACTGTTAAGTTGTAGAAGCATTGGTTGCTAAGAAAAATCAATTTGTCGAGAAAATTAACTGGAAATGCGTGAGCAAACTGGAAATCATATCTCTATGCAATAAAAGTTCCGATAAGTTTGAAATTAAGATTGGGCTACCGAGTTATATACAACTACAATATCATACCATTTAAACACAATTTTTATACAAATTTTATACAATACGTTTTTTGTATATTTTTTTTATCTAATTTATACATAGTAAAAATAAATTTCATATAAGTAATTATATATAATACAACTTATCTACAACTTTCATACATTATTTCTACCCAGTTATATACAACTACAATATCATATAACTTAAATACAATTTTTATATAATATTGTTCAACTTTCATACAATATTTCAATTTTATATATATATATATATATATATATATATATATATATACATACATACATACAATTTTACTATAATTTCTGCAATATAATATATGTCATGTCGTCTTCTTCTTCTTCTTCTTCTTCTTCTTCTTCTTCTTCTTCTTCTTCGAGTTTCAATCTGAAATTCAGCCAAAATCAAGTCTAATTGTTTTTCAATCTGTATTTCTATAAAACCAATAAAACGTTAAACTTTCTGAAATAAAATCAGAAATAGTAAAATAAGTAGAACTAGTTTAACGAAATAAATTCTGAAAAGATAATATAGAAATAAATCGAGCCCACTTAATATACAGTGTGTTCTTAAGGAAATTATTCTCCTCAAGTACCCAAGGTTCTGGAATATATCCTCCCAGGATAGAACAATTTAACTCACCGGAGTGTTGGTACCAAAAACGCCGATGAACAACGAACCACTCGAAGGCTATAAAACACACTGGAATTTTTATGAGCAGAAGAAGAAGAAGAAGATCAGAAAATTTCTTAAGTAAATATTCTGGGATTTGAAGGCATATTTATAGCCAATTTGGCGTTGTTTCTAAAAAGGTTTGCAACCTTTTAGAACAGCCATAGTTGTTGGAACAGGTGGGAAAAATTGCGGGAAAAACAAACAGATTTAAAATTAATCCAGGAAAAAGAAGGGACCTGGACCGGACCGGGTCGCGGGTCATGGATTATTTTGGATTGAATTTACCATAATTAATTTAATTAATTAATTAAAAAGAATTTGTCCAAAAAGATTAATCAATCAATCTTTGACTAAATTCGAATCCGAATCTGAAGCCGAGCCGAGCAAGCGATAACGACGACGGCGCGAGGCTTGCCTTCTTCTTAACTCTTTAAGACCTAAAAGAGCTTCTCTATATATACACAAAGGTTTTCTTTCCTTCTTCCAATGAGGTACAAAGTGCATTAGTAAAATGAACTAATTTAAAATTTCACTTCCCTCCATTCCTTTTCCCACCATTTTCCATTCACACCTCTTTTGTTATTAATAACAAAATCCAACAATCCCCCACATGAATGAGGAATGTCTATAAAATAAAGGAATGCACGGACGCGCGTGTGTTTTACTTTTAAGAATTATTGCATCTAGATAACTAGGTTTCCCTTTGAACTTTTCGTAGTGAACTTATATTGGATATACTTGGTCAATCGGTAGATTTGATATCTTTGAACCGTCAAGATTTGTTATATACCTAGACAACATAAGTCACACAATCAATCCTTGACCATCTATGGTCCTCACGGTTGTGTTTGTTTCAGCCATGAACACCGCCTGGTTTGATGAGTGCTTAGAGAATGGGCCTTTACTTTCATTCCCCTTGAAGCAGCTTACACTTCACACTCACATAGGTGATTCCTAAACGTGTAATCCTCAAGACACACTATCTGGATATATCCTGCCAGACTTAGCAAATCATTAAAAAGCTTTAAGCTTTATTGACTCATCAAAAAGCCTTAATGCTTTACCTCGATTTTGAACATTGTCTTCATCACGAGAATGGGTTGAGTTATTTGATAGTGTCGAACCGCCATTCATAAATTTGTTTGATCTCATTGAACCTAGCTCTTGGGATCTCCAGTCTGCTAGGTAGAGTTACCGCCAAGATGACTTGTCCTAGGCCTTAACCCCATTCCGTTTGATGATCTTTCAACTACCTCTCTAGATAGGCCTTTTGTAAGCGGATCCGACATGTTATCTCTTGACTTTGTGTAGTCAATCGTGATAACAACAGTAGAGAGTAGTTGTCTAACAGTATTGTGTCCCCGTCGTATATGACGAGATTTTCCGTTATACATAACGCTCCCTGCCCTGCCTATTGCCGCTTGACTATCATAATATATACAAATAGGTGCTAAAGGTTTGAGCCAAAATGGAATATCTTCCAAGAAATTCTGGAGCCATTCAGCTTCTTCACCGGCCTTATCAAAAGCTATGAATTCAGATTGCATTGTAGAACGGGCTATGCACGTTTGTTTGGATGATTTCCAAGACACTACTCCACCCCCAATCGTGAAAACATATCCACTCATGGATTTAACTTCAGATGATCCTGTAGTCCAATTTGCATCACTATATTCCTCAATCACGGAGGGATATTTTGTTATAACGCAAAGCATAATTTTGGGCATGTTTCAGATACCACAAAACTCATTTCATTGCCATCCAATGTATTTGGTTGGGATTACTTATAAACCGACTCAGTTTTCTAATAGCACATGCTATATCTAGTCGCGTACAATTCATGATATACATTAAAATTCCAAATACTCTTGCATAGTCCAGTTGTGAGTCACTTTCACCTTCATTCTTTTGAAGTGCATAACTCACGTCAATTGGAGTCTTGGCAATCTTGAAATCTAAATACTTGAACTTGTCAAGTACT